CCCCTGGGTGGCAGTTTTACCACCCCACCTCTCGACGTGTTCTGTCCTCCCAGGACGTCACGTTCGACGAGTCGGTACCCTACTACCGCCTCTTCCCCTACCGCACTCCGTCCCTCCCCCCACCCCCGCTCTTCTTGGTACCAGGTCCCCCCCCGGTAGTCCCCCTCCCCCCTCAGGGTCCTGCCCCTTCAGGTGTGTCCCAGGTAGACGCGGTTGAGCCTGTCGAGGTCACTGGTGAGTCTGGTGCTGCTGCGGGAGCTGAGCCTGGGGGTGCGGAGTCTGGGGGTGCTGAGCCTGGGGGTGCTGTGCCTGGGGGTGCTGAGCCTGGAGGTGTCGAGCCTGGGGGTGCTGTGCCTGGGGGTGCTGAGCCTGGGGGTGCTGTTCCTGGGGGTGCTGCGCCTGGGGGTGCTGTGCCTGGGGGTGGTGAGCCTGGGGGTGCTGAGCCTGGGGGTGCTGTTCCTGGGGGTGCTGAGCCTGGGGGTGCTGTGCCTGGGGGTGCTTCGTCTCGCCGGGAGCCACTCTCCTCACAGGAGCTGCGTGAGTGGTTTGCCCGGCGCTGGAGGCGTGCTGCTGGTGCTGGTGGTTCTTCGGCTGCAGAGGGTACTGCTGCCACGCGTCCTGGCGGTGCTCGTACTGTGGGTGCTGGAGCTGCTGGGTCTGAGAGCTCTCCTGGAGCTGGTACTGCTGAGGGTGTTGGCGCTGAGCCTGCGGTTGGAGGTCCGACTGAGAGTACTCCTGGTGCTGCTGCTGGAGGTTCTGGAGCTTCTGGTGGTTCTGCTGGAGGTGCTGCTGGAGTGGGTGCTCCTGACGGGCCTGCTGGTGCTGTTCCTGCTGTTTCTGGCGTCGCCGCGCGGCCCCGACCGTACTTCGTTCCGCTCCTGCAGCAGGTTCTTGGTCTTGCACCTCCTCCTCCTCCCTTAGAGGGTCCGCAGCCTGTCCGGTCACAGCCACAGCTACAGCATGCCTCCCCTTTGCCTGCTCCTTCTCCCTACGCTGGTCCGAATGGAGGTCTTACTGAGCGTCGTGAGCCTGCGTCTCGTCCTGCGTCGCCTGTTCGTACTGAGCGCGCTAGTGGTCGCGGGTCGCGTCAGCGTCCTCCTCCTGTCCCTGGCACGCACCGGATGTCACTGCGTCCGTCCACTGCTCCTCTGCGTGCCCCTTTGCCTTCTCCTCCTGCTTCCTCTCTTCCTGCTCTTGCCGACCCGGAGTCGGACTCTCTTCGTGCTGCCAGTCCTACTGTCACGCGTCTCCTTGCTACTGCTGTCACTGACCCTTCCTTCGAGTCGTCTGCTGCGTCTGCCCTTGTCACTGAGCTTGTCGACTTTGCTGCGCGCTGTCGTCTAGACTACGCTGCTCGTCTTGTCACTGAGTCTGAGTCCGCCTGTCCTCCGTCCGTCGGGGGTGAGTGTGCCCTTGGCACGGACGTCCTTGAGGACAGGCAGGAGGAGTTCCAGTGTCTAGCCGCTGCTTCACCTCGTCTCGCGTCTGTACTGCTAGCCCCTGAGGGAGACCCGGATGCACCAGACATCCCGACTCCGCGCTCTTACGCGGAGGCGATAGAGGGTCCCTACTCCTCTCAGTGGCAGGCAGCTATGGATGCAGAGATGGCTTCCTGGAAGTCCACAGGCACCTACGTTGACGCTGTTCCCCCTCCTGGGGCGAACATCGTCAGTGGCATGTGGATTTTCAGGGTGAAGCGGCCGCCGGGTTCTCCGCCTGTCTTCAAGGCGCGTTACGTGGCTCGTGGCTTCAGTCAGCGGCAGGGGGTTGACTACTTTCAGACCTTCTCCCCCACCCCTAAGATGACCACTCTTCGGGTTCTGCTGCACGTTGCTGCTCACCGCGACTACGAGCTGCACTCTCTCGACTTCAGCACAGCTTTCTTGCAGGGCAGCCTGCACGAGGAGATCTGGCTGCGTCGCCCACCTGGCTTCACTGGGTCTTTCCCTCCTGGTACCCAGTGGAGTCTGCGGCGTCCAGTCTACGGTCTCCGCCAGGCGCCACGTGAGTGGCACGACACACTGAGGACTACGCTCGCGGCACTTGGGTTTGCTCCTTCTACTGCCGACCCGTCGCTGTTTCTGCGCACCGACACCTCTCTGCCGCCGTTCTACATCCTCGTGTACGTCGACGACTTGGTCTCTGCCACAGCTGACACTGCTGGACTCGCCTACGTGAAGTCCGAGCTGCAGAAGAGACACACGTGCACTGACCTAGGTGAACTGCGTAGCTACCTTGGCTTGCAGATCACCCGGGACAGAGCACGCCGCACCATTACCCTGACTCAGTCACACATGGTGCAGCAGGTCCTTCAGCGCTTCGGCTTCACGTACTCCTCGCCTCAGGCCACTCCTCTGCCTACTCGCCACTCGCTCTCAGCTCTGCCTTCGGATGAGTCCGTAGAGTCGAGTGGTCCGTTTGCAGAGCTTGTTGGCTGCCTCATGTACCTGATGACCTGCACACGACCTGACCTCGCATACCCTCTTAGCATTCTCGCACGCTTTGTTGCTCCTGGGAGACACCGACCAGAGCACATGGCTGCAGCGAAGAGGGTGTTGCGTTACTTGTGCAGTACGTCGGGCATGGGGCTAGTGCTTGGAGGGCGCAGTCCAGTGGTCCTCACTGGGCACGCAGACGCTTCTTGGGCTGACGACCAGGCTACGCAGCGGTCGTCACAGGGTTACACCTTCAGCCTTGGTTCCGGCTCTGTCTCGTGGCGGGCTACCCGCTCGTCTTCTGTTCTCGGCTCCAGTTGTGAGGCTGAGATCTACGCTGGGGCTATGGCTGCGCAGGAGTTACGCTGGCTCACCTACCTGCTGACCGACCTTGGAGAGCAGCCTCGTTCTCCTCCAGTCCTGTACGTAGACAACAAGGCCATGCTGGCCTTGTGTCGAGAGCAGCGACTGGAGCACAGAACGAAGCACATTGCTCTCCGCTACTTTCTTGCTCGTGAGCTACAGCAGCGTGGACAGTTGCGACTTGCGTACGTGGCCTCTGAGGCCAACACTGCTGATGTCTTCACCAAGGCACTTGCGCCTTGTGATCATCAGCGTTGTTGCACGCAGTTGGGTCTTGTGCCTGTCTTGCCTCACTTGCTCTCCTCTTGACCTTGCTTGTACCTTCGCCTATATATACTCTTGCTCTTGCTTGCTTGACTCTTGTATATCTCTATATATGATCTTGCATGTGAACTGGCCGTCTGGCCTTTGAACTTGTGCTCGGAATGCGTGGTGACTTTGTGATCCACCCCGAGCTTGCTTTGCTTTGCTTTGCTTGACTGGTCTTGTGACCCCTTGTTCTCCCCCACTTTGCCTATGGGGGTGTGTCAGAACATATCTATAGCTTATACTATTGTGTAGGCTGTAGTGGGGTATCCCATAGGGGGTACAACCCAGTTAGGGTTTCATATTTGTACTGCCTTCATTCATAGTTCACACATTCCTGTTCATTCAGTTTCACAGTTATGGGCGCACTCACCTGCTATACAAATAAGCCATCCTATCCCAATGGTCTAGTGGTTGGGATTTTGACATATACAGAAAATATGAAGGAATGCGTAACAAAGTAAACTAGCCATGTACTCTATGGTGTACATTCTCTTATTGCTACGATATTAGAAATACCGTGCGGCGCGGGAACCTGTTTCAAATGTTTCAATTCTTTTCATTTCAAATGTTCCTGCCTGCATCGGTCTCGATCAGACGGTTGCTGTTGTCGCTTCGACTCTTCTGACTCCTCGACTTTGTACTCGGCAGATTCTGCTCATGCAGCGTACAGGAATGCCTTCTCATTGAATTTCATATCGTAACACGTTATAGTGGGTTAGAGAAAGTGGGGATGGTGCACGGAATTGGTGAATACAGTGAAAAGAGTGCCATATGTTTTAAGAGAGAGAGAGAGAGAGAGAGAGAGAGAGAGAGAGAGAGAGAGAGAGAGAGAGAGAGAGAGAGAGAGAGAGAGAGAGAGAGAGAGAGAGAACAAGGATAACCACACCCAAATGAATGTCTTATCTTCCGGGTAATTATCTAGGTGGCCCTTTTTTAGGCGAGGCCCATATCTGGGTAGGTCACGGAAATGTAACATACCATTGATTTTATTATTTCTCATAACATCACAGCCTCAATTCTCAAGCGTTCAACGTGTTATCTGAAGGATTTCCAAGTTATAGAGCATGCCTTACTTAGGAACCCATAATTATACCGTACTTCTGATACACCTTATAATAAACTGTTTTAAGATATTTGTTAGGGAAAATATGTCACAGGTAACCATCATGTGACCCGATAACGTCAATGGCAAAAACAAAAAGCGTACGGTAACTGTATCGAGTGTCCTGACGGGCTTGGTAAGCGGGGTCACGGAATCAGTCACCATCAACAGCTAGGGTTTCACGCGAATGGTAACACATGAAACCCCCGCCAGAAATTCCTGAAACCAGGCCGATTTCCCGCTCGCGCCAACTCGTGCGGAGAGGTTTGATGCACGCTTGTACCGTCGAGCCTCCAGCCCACCGTAACCACACCACGACCCGACGTGCTGTACACCCCCATGCCCGCTACGGTTCCAACCAAGTACAGAACCTTGACCCCAGCGCAGCTCTCCAACTTACTTCCCGCCATCAGCTATTCCTCACGCTATTACTAGTAGCTATCATACCTTTCGCCAGCTGCCTTCCCCGTCACGCATCCAAGGCGTTCGTTAGCAGCACCTGACTTCCTATCAACGGTGCGTGCCTTAGCCCTAAAGCCTTTCCCCATCCATTCACGTTTAGTCCCTTGTTACTCGAAAATTACTACTAATATGAATGAATAAAGTCGATCAGACCGCTGTCGCGATGCACCCACAAACCGGCGCGCCGAACAGCGCATCGCCCGATGCATCGGGCCCGATCGTCGCGAGATGCATCTCGCGACGATCAGGAGCAGCCGCCGCCGCGATGCGCATTGCGGCCAGCTTCGAGCCGCAAAGCGCATCGCGCCGACCGGGCCGCCGCCGCCGCGATGCGCATTGCGTCCTGCTTTTGGCCGCTCCGCGCATCGCGCCGACCAGGCCGCCGCCGTCGCAATGCGCAATGCGGCCACCCTGCCGGCCGCATTGCGACGATCCGCCACCGTGATGCGCTAACCCGCCGCTCCCATACGCTCTCATTCCCTCTCACCCACTCTCTTACGCTCTCATTCCCTCTCACCCACTCTCTTACGCTCTCATTCCCTCTCACCCCCTCTCTTACGCTCTCATTCCCTCTCACCCCCTCTCTTACGCTCTCATTCCCTCTCACCCACTCTCGCACCCTCTCATTCCCTCTCACCCACTCTCATACGCTCTCTTTCCCCCCACCCACTCTCATACGCTCTCATTCCCTCTCACCCACTCTCATACGCTCTCATTCCCTCTCACCCACTCTCATACGCTCTCATTCCCTCTCACCCACTCCCATACGCTCTCATTCCCTCTCACCCTCTCTCATACGCTCTCACTCCCTCTCACCCACTCTCATACGCTCTCACTCCCTCTCACCCACTCTCTCACGCTCTCATTCCCTCTCACCCACTCTCATACGCTCTCATTCCCTCTCACCCACTCTCATACGCTATCCTTCCCTCTCACCCACTCTCATACGCTCTCATTCCCTCTCATCCCTTCTCATCCCCTCTCATTCACTCTCATACACTCTCCTATACCTTCATACTCTCTCATCATCCCTTATCATACACTCTCATTCACTCTCATCCCCTCTCATCCTCTCCCATCCCATGTCATTCCCTCTCATATACTCTCACACCCTCTCGTACCCACTCATATGCACTCATATACACTCTCATCCCCTCTTATACACTCCCACACACACTCATACACTCTCATACACTCTCATTCACACTCATCCCCTCTAATCCCCTCATATCCCCTCTCATCCCCTCCCATTCCCTCTCATACACTCTCACACACTCTCATACACTCTCTTACACACTCTCATCACTCCTCATCCACTCGCATACACTCTCAACCCCTCTCATGCTCTCTCATACACTCACATACACCCTTATTCACTCTCATCCCTCCTCATCCACTCTCATATACTCTCAACCCCTCTCATCCTCTCTCATAAACTCACATACACCCTTATTCACTCTCATCCCCTCTCATACAAACTCATACCCCCTAATCCGCTCTCATCCACTCTCATACAACTCAATTACACTCTCATTCACACCCATCCCCTCTTATCCCCTCACATCCTCTCTCATACACTCTCATCCCCTCTCATACACTCTCATACACTCTTGTACACACTCATACCCTCCCATACACTATCATATACGCTATCATCCCGCCATACTCTCCCGTACACACTCATACACTCTCATCCCTTCCCATATACTCTCATACACTCTCATCATCCCTTATCATACACTCTCATTCACTCTCATCCCCTCTCCTCCCCTCTCATCCCATCTCATTCCCTCTCATACACTCTCATACACTCTCGTACCCACACATACCCACTCATAGACTATCATATACACTCTCATCCCCTCTTATACACTCCCCAACACACTCATACACTCTCATCCCTGCTCATCCCCTATCATCCCCTCTCATCCCCTCTCATCCCCTCTCATCCCCTATCATCCCATCTTATACACTCTCACCCACTCTCATACGCTCTCATTCCCTCTCACCCACTCTCATACGCTCTCATTCCCTCTCACCCACTCTCATACTCTCTCATTCCCTCTCACCCACTCTCATACGCTCTCATTCCCTCTCACCCACTCTCATACGCTCTCATTCCCTCTCACCCACTCTCATACGCTCTCATTCCCTCTCACCCACTCTCATACTCTCTCATTCCCTCTCACCCACACTCATACGCTCTCATTCCCTCTCACCCACACTCATACGCTCTCATTCCCTCTCACCCACACTCATACGCTCCCATTCCCTCTCACCCACTCTCATACGCTCTCATTCCCTCTCACCCACTCTCATACGCTCTCATTCCCTCTCACCCACTCTCATACTCTCTCATTCCCTCTCACCCACTCTCATACGCTCTCATTCCCTCTCACCCACTCTCATACTCTCTCATTCCCTCTCATCCACTCTCATCAACTCTCATACGCTCTCAACCCCTCCCACCCACTCTCATCCCCTCTCATCCCCTCTCACACACTCTCATTCCCACTCATCTCCTCTCGTCCTATCTCACACACTATCATTCCCCCACATTCACTCTCATCTACTATCATACACTCATATTCACTCTCATCCCCTCTCATCCCCTCTCATCCACTCTCATCCCCTCTCATCCACTCTCATTCCCTCTCACCCACTCTCATACGCTCTCATTCCCTCTCACCCACACTCATACGCTCTCATTCCCTCTCACCCACTCTCATACGCTCTCATTCCCTCTCACCCACTCTCATACGCTCTCATTCCCTCTCACCCACTCTCATACTCTCTCATTCCCTCTCACCCACACTCATACGCTCTCATTCCCTCTCACCCACACTCATACGCTCTCATTCCCTCTCACCCACACTCATACGCTCCCATTCCCTCTCACCCACTCTCATACGCTCTCATTCCCTCTCACCCACTCTCATACGCTCTCATCCCCTCTCATCCACTCTCATATGCTCTCATTCCCTCTCACCCACCCTCACACCCTCTCATTCCCTCTCACACACTCTCATACGCTCTCATTCCCTCTCACCCACTCTCATACCCTCTCATTCCCTCTCACCCACTCTCATACTCTCTCATTCCCTCTCACCCACTCTCATACGCTCTCATTCCCTCTCACCCACACTCCTACGCTCTCATTCCCTCTCACCCACTCTCATACGCTCTCATTCCCTCTCACCCACTCTCATACGCTCTCATTCCCTCTCACCCACTCTCATACTCTCTCATTCCCTCTCACCCACACTCATACGCTCTCATTCCCTCTCACCCACACTCATACGCTCTCATTCCCTCTCACCCACACTCATACGCTCCCATTCCCTCTCACCCACTCTCATACGCTCTCATTCCCTCTCACCCACTCTCATACGCTCTCATTCCCTCTCACCCACTCTCATACTCTCTCATTCCCTCTCATCCACTCTCATCAACTCTCATACGCTCTCAACCCCTCCCACCCACTCTCATCCCCTCTCATCCCCTCTCACACACTCTCATTCCCACTCATCTCCTCTCGTCCTATCTCACACACTATCATTCCCCCACATTCACTCTCATCTACTATCATACACTCATATTCACTCTCATCCCCTCTCATCCCCTCTCATCCACTCTCATCCCCTCTCATCCACTCTCATTCCCTCTCACCCACTCTCATACGCTCTCATTCCCTCTCACCCACACTCATACGCTCTCATTCCCTCTCACCCACTCTCATACGCTCTCATTCCCTCTCACCCACTCTCATACGCTCTCATTCCCTCTCACCCACTCTCATACTCTCTCATTCCCTCTCACCCACACTCATACGCTCTCATTCCCTCTCACCCACACTCATACGCTCTCATTCCCTCTCACCCACACTCATACGCTCCCATTCCCTCTCACCCACTCTCATACGCTCTCATTCCCTCTCACCCACTCTCATACGCTCTCATCCCCTCTCATCCACTCTCATACGCTCTCATTCCCTCTCACCCACCCTCACACCCTCTCATTCCCTCTCACACACTCTCATACGCTCTCATTCCCTCTCACCCACTCTCATACCCTCTCATTCCCTCTCACCCACTCTCATACTCTCTCATTCCCTCTCACCCACTCTCATACGCTCTCATTCCCTCTCACCCACACTCATACGCTCTCATTCCCTCTCACCCACTCTCATACGCTCTCATTCCCTCTCACCCACTCTCATACGCTCTCATTCCCTCTCACCCACTCTCATACTCTCTCATTCCCTCTCACCCACACTCATACGCTCTCATTCCCTCTCACCCACACTCATACGCTCTCATTCCCTCTCACCCACACTCATACGCTCCCATTCCCTCTCACCCACTCTCATACGCTCTCATTCCCTCTCACCCACTCTCATACGCTCTCATTCCCTCTCACCCACTCTCATACTCTCTCATTCCCTCTCACCCACTCTCATACGCTCTCATTCCCTCTCACCCACACTCATACGCTCTCATTCCCTCTCACCCACTCTCATACGCTCTCATTCCCTCTCACCCACTCTCATACGCTCTCATTCCCTCTCACCCACTCTCATACTCTCTCATTCCCTCTCACCCACACTCATACGCTCTCATTCCCTCTCACCCACACTCATACGCTCTCATTCCCTCTCACCCACACTCATACGCTCCCATTCCCTCTCACCCACTCTCATACGCTCTCATTCCCTCTCACCCACTCTCATACTCTCTCATTCCCTCTCATCCACTCTCATCAACTCTCATACGCTCTCAACCCCTCCCATCCACTCTCATCCCCTCTCATCCCCTCTCACACACTCTCATTCCCACTCATCTCCTCTCGTCCTATCTCACACACTATCATTCCCCCACATTCACTCTCATCTACTATCATACACTCATATTCACTCTCATCCGCTCTCATCCCCTCTCATCCACTCTCATCCCCTCTCATCCACTCTCGTTCACCTTCACACACTCTCATTCCCTCTCATACACTCTCGTACCCTCTCTTCCACTCACATTCCCTCTCATCCCTTCTCTTCCACTCTCAACCCCTCTCATCCCATCTCTTCCACTCTCATTCCCTCTCATCCCCTCTCCTACACTCTAATCCCCCCTCATACACTCTCATTTCCACTCATCCCCTCTCATTCACTCTCGTTCCCTCTCATCCCCTCTCATTCACGTTCATCCCCTTTCATCCCCTCTCATCCCCTCTCATCCACTCTCATACGCTCTCATTCCCTCTCACCCACTCTCATACTCTCTCATTCCCTCTCACCCACACTCATACGCTCTCATTCCCTCTCACCCACTCTCATACTCTCTCATTCCCTCTCACCCACACTCATACGCTCTCATTCCCTCTCACCCACACTCATACGCTCTCATTCCCTCTCACCCACACTCATACGCTCCCATTCCCTCTCACCCACTCTCATACGCTCTCATTCCCTCTCACCCACTCTCATACGCTCTCATTCCCTCTCACCCACTCTCATACTCTCTCATTCCCTCTTATCCACTCTCATCAACTCTCATACGCTCTCAACCCCTCCCACCCACTCTCATCCCCTCTCATCCCCTCTCACACACTCTCATTCCCACTCATCTCCTCTCGTCCTATCTCACACACTATCATTCCCCCACATTCACTCTCATCTACTATCATACACTCATATTCACTCTCATCCCCTCTCATCCCCTCTCATCCACTCTCATCCCCTCTCATCCACTCTCATTCCCTCTCACCCACTCTCATACGCTCTCATTCCCTCTCACCCACACTCATACGCTCTCATTCCCTCTCACCCACTCTCATACGCTCTCATTCCCTCTCACCCACTCTCATACGCTCTCATTCCCTCTCACCCACTCTCATACTCTCTCATTCCCTCTCACCCACACTCATACGCTCTCATTCCCTCTCACCCACACTCATACGCTCTCATTCCCTCTCACCCACACTCATACGCTCCCATTCCCTCTCACCCACTCTCATACGCTCTCATTCCCTCTCACCCACTCTCATACGCTCTCATCCCCTCTCATCCACTCTCATACGCTCTCATTCCCTCTCACCCACCCTCACACCCTCTCATTCCCTCTCACACACTCTCATACGCTCTCATTCCCTCTCACCCACTCTCATACCCTCTCATTCCCTCTCACCCACTCTCATACTCTCTCATTCCCTCTCACCCACTCTCATACGCTCTCATTCCCTCTCACCCACACTCATACGCTCTCATTCCCTCTCACCCACTCTCATACGCTCTCATTCCCTCTCACCCACTCTCATACGCTCTCATTCCCTCTCACCCACTCTCATACTCTCTCATTCCCTCTCACCCACACTCATACGCTCTCATTCCCTCTCACCCACACTCATACGCTCTCATTCCCTCTCACCCACACTCATACGCTCCCATTCCCTCTCACCCACTCTCATACGCTCTCATTCCCTCTCACCCACTCTCATACGCTCTCATTCCCTCTCACCCACTCTCATACTCTCTCATTCCCTCTCACCCACTCTCATACGCTCTCATTCCCTCTCACCCACACTCATACGCTCTCATTCCCTCTCACCCACTCTCATACGCTCTCATTCCCTCTCACCCACTCTCATACGCTCTCATTCCCTCTCACCCACTCTCATACTCTCTCATTCCCTCTCACCCACACTCATACGCTCTCATTCCCTCTCACCCACACTCATACGCTCTCATTCCCTCTCACCCACACTCATACGCTCCCATTCCCTCTCACCCACTCTCATACGCTCTCATTCCCTCTCACCCACTCTCATACTCTCTCATTCCCTCTCATCCACTCTCATCAACTCTCATACGCTCTCAACCCCTCCCATCCACTCTCATCCCCTCTCATCCCCTCTCACACACTCTCATTCCCACTCATCTCCTCTCGTCCTATCTCACACACTATCATTCCCCCACATTCACTCTCATCTACTATCATACACTCATATTCACTCTCATCCGCTCTCATCCCCTCTCATCCACTCTCATCCCCTCTCATCCACTCTCGTTCACCTTCACACACTCTCATTCCCTCTCATACACTCTCGTACCCTCTCTTCCACTCACATTCCCTCTCATCCCTTCTCTTCCACTCTCAACCCCTCTCATCCCATCTCTTCCACTCTCATTCCCTCTCATCCCCTCTCCTACACTCTAATCCCCCCTCATACACTCTCATTTCCACTCATCCCCTCTCATTCACTCTCGTTCCCTCTCATCCCCTCTCATTCACGTTCATCCCCTTTCATCCCCTCTCATCCCCTCTCATCCACTCTCATACGCTCTCATTCCCTCTCACCCACTCTCATACTCTCTCATTCCCTCTCACCCACACTCATACGCTCTCATTCCCTCTCACCCACACTCATACGCTCTCATTCCCTCTCACCCACACTCATACGCTCTCATTCCCTCTCACCCACTCTCATACGCTCTCATTCCCTCTCACCCACTCTCATACTCTCTCATTCCCTCTCACCCACACTCATACGCTCTCATTCCCTCTCACCCACACTCATACGCTCTCATTCCCTCTCACCCACACTCATACGCTCCCATTCCCTCTCACCCACTCTCATACGCTCTCATTCCCTCTCACCCACTCTCATACGCTCTCATTCCCTCTCACCCACTCTCATACTCTCTCATTCCCTCTCATCCACTCTCATCAACTCTCATACGCTCTCAACCCCTCCCATCCACTCTCATCCCCTCTCATCCCCTCTCACACACTCTCATTCCCACTCATCTCCTCTCGTCCTATCTCACACACTATCATTCCCCCACATTCACTCTCATCTACTATCATACACTCATATTCACTCTCATCCCCTCTCATCCCCTCTCATCCACTCTCATCCCCTCTCATCCACTCTCGTTCACCTTCACACACTCTCATTCCCTCTCATACACTCTCGTACCCTCTCTTCCACTCACATTCCCTCTCATCCCTTCTCTTCCACTCTCAACCCCTCTCATCCCATCTCTTCCACTCTCATTCCCTCTCATCCCCTCTCCTACACTCTAATCCCCCCTCATACACTCTCATTTCCACTCATCCCCTCTCATTCACTCTCGTTCCCTCTCATCCCCTCTCATTCACGTTCATCCCCTTTCATCCCCTCTCATCCCCTCTCATCCACTCTCATACGCTCTCATTCCCTCTCACCCACTCTCATACTCTCTCATTCCCTCTCACCCACACTCATACGCTCTCATTCCCTCTCACCCACACTCATACGCTCTCATTCCCTCTCACCCACACTCATACGCTCCCATTCCCTCTCACCCACTCTCATACGCTCTCATTCCCTCTCACCCACTCTCATACGCTCTCATTCCCTCTCACCCACTCTCATACTCTCTCATTCCCTCTCACCCACTCTCATACGCTCTCATTCCCTCTCACCCACACTCATACGCTCTCATTCCCTCTCACCCACTCTCATACGCTCTCATTCCCTCTCACCCACTCTCATACGCTCTCATTCCCTCCCACCCACTCTCATACTCTCTCATTCCCTCTCACCCACACTCATACGCTCTCATTCCCTCTCACCCACACTCATACGCTCTCATTCCCTCTCACCCACACTCATACGCTCCCATTCCCTCTCACCCACTCTCATACGCTCTCATTCCCTCTCACCCACTCTCATACGCTCTCATTCCCTCTCACCCACTCTCATACTCTCTCATTCCCTCTCACCCACTCTCATACGCTCTCATTCCCTCTCACCCACACTCATACGCTCTCATTCCCTCTCACCCACTCTCATACGCTCTTATTCCCTCTCACCCACTCTCATACGCTCTCATTCCCTCTCACCCACTCTCATACTCTCTCATTCCCTCTCACCCACACTCATACGCTCTCATTCCCTCTCACCCACACTCATAGGCTCTCATTCCCTCTCACCCACACTCATACGCTCCCATTCCCTCTCACCCACTCTCATACGCTCTCATTCCCTCTCACCCACTCTCATACGCTCTCATTCCCTCTCACCCACTCTCATACTCTCTCATTCCCTCTCACCCACTCTCATACGCTCTCATTCCCTCTCACCCACACTCATACGCTCTCATTCCCTCTCACCCACTCTGATACGCTCTCATTCCCTCTCACCCACTCTCATACGCTCTCATTCCCTCTCACCCACTCTCATACTCTCTCATTCCCTCTCACCCACACTCATACGCTCTCATTCCCTCTCACCCACACTCATACGCTCTCATTCCTTCTCACCCACACTCATACGCTCCCATTCCCTTTCACCCACTCTCATACGCTCTCATTCCCTCTCACCCACTCTCATACGCTCTCATTCCCTCTCACCCACTCTCATACTCTCTCATTCCCTCTCATCCACTCTCATCAACTCTCATACGCTCTCAACCCCTCCCATCCACTCTCATCCCCTCTCATCCCCTCTCACACACTCTCATTCCCACTCATCTCCTCTCGTCCTATCTCACACACTATCATTCCCCCACATTCACTCTCATCTACTATCATACACTCATATTCACTCTCATCCCCTCTCATCCCCTCTCATCCACTCTCATCCCCTCTCATCCACTCTCGTTCACCTTCACACACTCTCATTCCCTCTCATACACTCTCGTACCCTCTCTTCCACTCACATTCCCTCTCATCCCTTCTCTTCCACTCTCAACCCCTCTCATCCCATCTCTTCCACTCTCATTCCCTCTCATCCCCTCTCCTACACTCTAATCCCCCCTCATACACTCTCATTTCCACTCATCCCCTCTCATTCACTCTCGTTCCCTCTCATCCCCTCTCATTCACGTTCATCCCCTTTCATCCCCTCTCATCCCCTCTCATCCACTCTCATACGCTCTCATTCCCTCTCACCCACTCTCATACTCTCTCATTCCCTCTCACCCACACTCATACGCTCTCATTCCCTCTCACCCACACTCATACGCTCTCATTCCCTCGCACCCACACTCATACGCTCCCATTCCCTCTCACCCACTCTCATACGCTCTCATTCCCTCTCACCCACTCTCATACGCTCTCATTCCCTCTCACCCACTCTCATACTCTCTCATTCCCTCTCACCCACTCTCATACGCTCTCATTCCCTCTCACCCACACTCATACGCTCTCATTCCCTCTCACCCACTCTCATACGCTCTCATTCCCTCTCACCCACTCTCATACGCTCTCATTCCCTCCCACCCACTCTCATACTCTCTCATTCCCTCTCACCCACACTCATACGCTCTCATTCCCTCTCACCCACACTCATACACTCTCATTCCCTCTCACCCACACTCATACGCTCCCATTCCCTCTCACCCACTCTCATACGCTCTCATTCCCTCTCACCCACTCTCATACGCTCTCATTCCCTCTCACCCACTCTCATACTCTCTCATTCCCTCTCACCCACTCTCATACGCTCTCATTCCCTCTCACCCACACTCATACGCTCTCATTCCCTCTCACCCACTCTCATACGCTCTCATTCCCTCTCACCCACTCTCATACGCTCTCATTCCCTCTCACCCACTCTCATACTCTCTCATTCCCTCTCACCCACACTCATACGCTCTCATTCCCTCTCACCCACACTCATACGCTCTCATTCCCTCTCACCCACACTCATACGCTCCCATTCCCTCTCACCCACTCTCATACGCTCTCATTCCCTCTCACCCACTCTCATACGCTCTCATTCCCTCTCACCCACTCTCATACTCTCTCATTCCCTCTCATCCACTCTCATCAACTCTCATACGCTCTCAACCCCTCCCATCCACTCTCATCCCCTCTCATCCCCTCTCACACACTCTCATTCCCACTCATCTCCTCTCGTCCTATCTCACACACTATCATTCCCCCACATTCACTCTCATCTACTATCATACACTCATATTCACTCTCATCCCCTCTCATCCCCTCTCATCCACTCTCATCCCCTCTCATCCACTCTCGTTCCCCTTCACACACTCTCATTCCCTCTCATACACTCTCGTACCCTCTCTTCCACTCACATTCCCTCTCATCTCTTCTCTTCCACTCTCAACCCCTCTCATCCCATCTCTTCCACTCTCATTCCCTCTCATCCCCTCTCCTACACTCTAATCCCCTCTCATACACTCTCATTCCCACTCATCCCCTCTCATTCACTCTCATTCCCTCTCATCCCCTCTCATTCACGTTCATCCCCTTTCATCCCCTCTCATCCCCTCTCATCCACTCTCATACGCTCTCATTCCCTCTCACCCACTCTCATACTCTCTCATTCCCTCTCACCCACACTCATACGCTCTCATTCCCTCTCACCCACACTCATACGCTCTCATTCCCTCTCACCCACACTCATACGCTCCCATTCCCTCTCACCCACTCTCATACGCTCTCATTCCCTCTCACCCACTCTCATACGCTCTCATTCCCTCTCACCCACTCTCATACTCTCTCATTCCCTCTCACCCACTCTCATACGCTCTCATTCCCTCTCACCCACACTCATACGCTCTCATTCCCTCTCACCCACTCTCATACGCTCTCATTCCCTCTCACCCACTCTCATACGCTCTCATTCCCTCTCACCCACTCTCATACTCTCTCATTCCCTCTCACCCACACTCATACGCTCTCATTCCCTCTCACCCACACTCATACGCTCTCATTCCCTCTCACCCACACTCATACGCTCCCATTCCCTCTCACCCACTCTCATACGCTCTCATTCCCTCTCACCCACTCTCATACGCTCTCATTCCCTCTCACCCACTCTCATACTCTCTCATTCCCTCTCACCCACTCTCATACGCTCTCATTCCCTCTCACCCACACTCATACGCTCTCATTCCCTCTCACCCACTCTCATACACTCTCATTCCCTCTCACCCACTCTCATACGCTCTCATTCCCTCTCACCCACTCTCATACTCTCTCATTCCCTCTCACCCACACTCATACGCTCTCATTCCCTCTCACCCACACTCATACGCTCTCATTCCCTCTCACCCACACTCATACGCTCCCATTCCCTCTCACCCACTCTCATACGCTCTCATTCCCTCTCACCCACTCTCATACGCTTTTATTCCCTCTCACCCACTCTCATACTCTCTCATTCCCTCTCATCCACTCTCATCAACTCTCATACGCTCTCA